GCGGCCTCCCCGCCCTCTCCCCCCGCGCCTCCCGCACGCGGCTCCAGCCGCGCTCAGCTACTTGTACGTCCTCGGGAAAAGCGTGTGCTCTTGACGCTTCTGCATCTGGTGGTGTCTCTACTTGGAATACCCTTTCCTTCCTGCGCCAGTGGCCCTCTGCCCCCTTCCAAACAAGATCAGAAAGCATCCGCTGGCCCTCCTACTTGAGCCTGCGGGCTGTGTTTTCCTGAGACTAACTTCTCTCGGTACCTTGTGGTCAGTTTTATTGTCTCTGTCCACATGTCTGACTCCTTGGATCCTGAGCTTCTGGAGGCAAGAGCCATCCTTCTCTCTGTCCCCTTGCATCTTAGCACAGACCATCACCACGTGCTGTGGAGGAAGGCGGCCGGAAAAGAGGGGCAGGAATAACTTGTATAATTTTATATTCCAGATATTATCAAGGAATTACACAGTGCAGATACTGTCATTTCACATTTTTAAATATCTTCATTTTAGAAAAGATGAGTCTACTGTGTGGGAGCTATAATATACTTCTCCAGATTCACATTTTAAACAAACCTATTCCTTTAGCAAGTGGCTGTATGTTCAGTATAACTTCGTCGCTGGGAACGGTGTTCCTTCAGTGCCTGGTTGTTGACCTTACCAGGGAGCACAGCATGGACCCGGGCACGGTTTCTGAGGGTGCCCGAGGCCTCCGAGGTACCCCGGACAGGGAAGATGAGCCGCGCCTTCTGCAGGATTCCCACTTGGGCTTTCTCTGCTGCTTTGCTTCCTGTAGACTATTTTAAATTCTTCTTGTAAATGCTTTTGCAGTGTCTGTTCTTCTTTATGCCTTTTTATCTTTCCCCCCACCCCTACCCCAGGCCTAATGTCTCGCATCATCTCAACACTTTTTTGAATTAAAAAAGAGTCCAAAAGTAGATCAAGTCTCAACATAAAATAGCAACTCTGGAGCCAACTGAAGACCAAAACTCTTTCTCATGAAGTGAATCACTCTAAGATAAGGCCTTTAAATCTCACCAAAAATAAAAATAAAAATAAGATGGGGAAATTTCATTCACAGAAATTCCCATTAGGAAGAGATTTTTTTGATCCTTTTTAAAAATGTGTTTTTATTGATTTTAGAGGGAGAGGGAGAGAGACATGGATGTGAGACAGAAACACCAGTTGGCTGCCTCCTGCATGACTGAGGCCCCCCTGGGTGCACCCTGACTGGGCACCGAACCAGCGACCTTGTGGTGCATGGAGCCAACTGAGCCACACCAGCCAGGGATGTTTTTTGTTTCTTATAAATACTTTGATGAGTTGTTGGGTTTGAATCTGAGACCCTGAAGGATCCTCAGTGTAGGAGGTATTGTTTTGTGCCAGTAAAATAGAGATTTTTGAGTACCGACGGGTGAAAAAGAGAGTGAGGAGGCAGTTGGAAGGCAATGGGGTACAGTGTGGCTTCTTGTGACTTCTTTAGTTGTATTACTAAACAAAAGAAATATTAAGTGCAAGATGGTGTTTTTTTGGCAGGTGGACAGGGAATGAGAGAAATAACTGGGCCTTAATGTCCAGACTGATGATTCAGGGCAACACACAAAGATGCAAGACCAGAAGGTTGAAGGAAAGGTAGAAAAGTTAGCCACAAGAACTTGTAGATATCAAGGGAATGCCTTTTTGTGGGTCATAGATTTTAGAATCAGAGTTCTAAATCTGCAGCCACCCCAGCTGATACACCAGTTAATCTCACCAACCCCCAGGCTAAGATTTTGAGGAAATGGACATTTTGTCCCATAGAAGGGAATTTTACCTCCATTTTGACTAAAGTGTTGTATAGGGCAAAAAAACAACCACCACAGAATGGAGCCTCTGCATTCAGGGTCAATCCTCAGTCCATTACACACCTAATTAGTCCAGTCTGCAAAAATGTTGAGTGCCCAGCCGGGCGTGGCTCAGTGGTTGAGCATCGACCTAGGATCCAGGAGATCGTGGTCCGATTCCTGGTCAGCGCACACGCCCGGGTTGTGGGCTCGATCCCCAGTCGGGGGCGTGCAGGAGGCAGCCGATCAATGACTCTCTCTCATCATTGATGTTTCTGTCTCTCTGTCCCTCTCCCTTCCTTTTTGAAATCAATAAAGATATGTTTAAAAAATATATATTGACTAATAGTGACTTTGGATCTGCTTTTAACCTGTTATAGTAAATTATAAAATCTTTGTTATTTGAATACAAAATAATTTTAATCACCTTTTTGTGCATGATGCCATACTAAACATCATAGGAGACAAGGTAGATTTTATAGTAAGTCTTTTGTTGCAAATACTCATATGTCTACTCCTCTTTATGCCTGTCCACCTTCCCACCTCAACCCCCATGTCTAACATTGTCTCTAATATTCAGGAAGATTCAGTGTTCAGTTTATAAAACTTGAAGTAACTTATTAATCTACAGGTTTTTTTATTGCTAAGAAAAAATAGCTTATAATTAATCCCTGAAGCTAGACAAGGTGAGAGTTTTTCAAATGTCAAAACTATCAACCAGAGCCATAATGCAGGTTTTAAGATCCACATTTAGCACCATAATATATAGATATGTAATGAGAACATTTACTTTTCTGCAGTTTGGAAATAACATTGGAGAATAAAATTATAATTTTGGTGTTAGTTTAACTTCATTGAATCTAAGTGTTATGTGGATTATTAAACTAATATTTTATTTTTATCTTTTTATCCTGAACATAGAATTTCTCTGAGTAATGAATGATATGATTTTAAATTAGTACAATCAAGGCATTGAGTCAGACAGTTATTATGAATTCTATACTAAGTCTTCATTCTCCTTAAAAGGCTTAATCGAAAGGTTTTGAGAAGCATTAAATAATTTGTACTTTTAACACATCAAACATTGACCTCCACAGGTTATCAAGTGTTAAAATCTCACAAGTTAACAAAGGTGAAGAAATTCAGGTCAAGAAATCCGAACAAAAACATCATCAGCCAGTTTCTAATGTATCTTGGGCGCTTTTTCTCCAAACTGTGTAGAGAGACCATTTACATTTTTGTAAGAGGCTTTCTCTAGCGCCAAGGCCATTTATTTCTTTGATTATCTTTGATTTGTACACAGCTTCTCATAATTACAAGCTAAAAAACTGCAACCTGTGTTAGCATTTAAGTGTTTTTTCTCATTACTCACGTGGCCAACAGCTAATGGGACAGAAAAATGCAACCGGTTATTGCCTGTCTCTGAGCACCACAGCCCAAGGGGTGTCCTCCGTGGATGAACACAGCCCCTTAGCTGTGTAAAAGAAAAGCTGATCACTACCCAGTAGCTTTTGAAGGGTTAGGGTTATTCTTAATTTGTGCCCTTAGGGACCTGAGTATTAATCTAGGAGGAAAAAAGACCTCGTCTCCCAGTGCAGCCATTCCTTGTGTTCTGTGGACGCCTCGGCTCTCAGGTCCTTGTTGTCTCTCTCCACCTTCCCTTCCCTGAAATGCGTCTTCCTGCTGTTCTTCTGTTTCTGTGCTGTCTCATTTTTTGGCAGCTAAGTGGAATTTATTACACTCAAATCAATTTAAGAACATGATTGTTGTACATCTCTTAGTGCAGCCAAAGCTTTCAAAGAAAAAAAGAAACAGGAAAGAAATCAGCAAAGTTGACATTTTCCTGCATCAGAGTAAAAAACGTCTTAAGGCCCGAAATTAAAGAAGCCTGGATTTGAAGACCAAATTGTCAGCGTTGGCAGAAATAAATCACAGTGTAAAAAAGATTTGCCAAACAGATTTTTAATATCTTTGCAGTGCCAACACTAGGGAACTTGAACTTCAAATCTAGGATTCTTTGTATCTATCACTCAGTTCCTGTTACTCTGGCTAACTCCTAGTTTTTCTTCAGGTTTCGTCTTAGATACTGTTTTTTCCTCCAGTTAGTTTCCTATTTACCTGCAATAAAGCATAATCACCCTTCTTTTAGTTACTTATTTTCTTATCTTTACATCCCATTAGATTTGAGAGTTCTTGAAATCAGGATAGTATTTTGTTTACTAAGTACCTAGTGTACTGACTGATGTAAACACAAGAAATATTAGTTGGCTAAATGAATGAATGCTGTTAGCCCTGTGAATTATATAGAACTGGAATATTTACTCTTATAATCTTTTGGGAAATATAGAATTAACGAACATAAAATAATTATAGAAAAATTTGGACCCATATTTTATCGTTTTGAGAGATTGAAATAGAAACACTGCATACATGTGCGTGTGTGTCTCTGTGTGTGTATTTATAAGTACAATAGGATTTCAGGTACTAGTGATTTTATTGGTTCAGACCATAGTAGTTAGGAATCTTTATGGAAAAGGTAGAGTTTGAGTTAAAAATTAAAGGGTGGGAAGGTTCAGAATGTTGAATATATTTGGAAAAACCCAAGATACTATCATATCATACTAGATTAGATGAGGCTAAGAACTTGGAGAGAACATAGAGTTAAATCAGTTCACCACCTGAAAAAAATACAATGCAGTAGATAACTAGGTATTCCATTAAAAGGTTAATATACTTGGATTATTACAAATGAAATAAGTTACCAGCCTGTAGAGCAAAAGGTATTGTCCACATTACTTGAAGACTATATTTAACAGCCACCCTGATGTAAACTGCATGTTATATCAGTTAGACTTAAGAATATTGCAATATAAGCCCTCGCCAGTGGTTAGAGTGTCAGCCTTGCACTGAAGGGTTGAAGGTTTGATTCCTGGTCAGGGCATGCACCTGGGTTGCAGGCTCGATTCCCAGTAGGGGGTGTGTAGGAGGTAGCAGATAGATGTTTTGCTCTCGTCATTGATGTTTCTCTCTCTCTCTCTCTCCCTCTCCCTTCCTTTCTCTGAAATCAATAAAAACATATTTAAAAAAACCCACAACTTTAAAAGAGCTTTAAAACAAGCATTAAACTTCAATAATGCTCTTACGCCTACCCTAAACAAGGCTGTATTCAATTTAAAACAAGTTTTAAAAATTTCTCAGTGATAATAATTAAATGATAAAACACTTTATTTTTGAGGTATTTCCCTTTTATAATTCTTACTAAATTTTACTTAATTCTATCAGCCCACTAATTAACTACATTATTTAATATTAGATTTATGCTCTAAAATATAAATTAATTATAAGACTGAAGCTTCACACTTGCTGAATTAAAACTTGAACTGAAATGTCTGATTCATTTTGGCTTTGATCAGACAATGATGCCATTGCTTTGAAAGTATATTAAATACACTTGTTTTTATTTTATTTTTTGATTTTTTAAGTATGTTTTTATTGATCTTAGAGAGCAAGGATGAGAGAGGGAGAGAGAGAGAAACATCGATCAGCTGCTTCCTGAGCCACACCCGCCAGGGCTTAAATATAGTTGTTGTTTTTTTAACTTATCTTTATTGTTGAAAGTATTACAGATGTTTCCCCCTCCGTCCCCCTCCCATGCCCTCCCCAGGACCTCACTGCACTACTGTGTGTCCATGGTTATGCAAAAATGCATATAAGTTCTTTGGTTAATCTCTTCCTAGCCCCGCCCTTCCCACTGAAATACATCGGTCTGTTGCATGCTTCCATGTCTCTGGATCTATTTTGTTTGTCAGTTTATTTTGTTCCTTAGAGTCCACATATGAGTTAGATGAAACAGCATGGAGGGACCTGGACAGTATTATGCTAAGTGAAATAAGCCAGAGAAACACAGTATCACATAATCTCACTTATATGTGGAATCTAATGAACAAAATAAACTGACAAATATAATTGTTTTTAAAGGTTACTTTGTAGTTCTCAATGTAATTTAGTTAATATGAAATATAAAATAAAGGTAAATTGATGCTATAACTATAAATGCCTCATAATACTGTCATACCAGATACATCTTTATATTATTTCTTTATTTGGCTAGTCTACATTTCTGATGATTTGTCCCAACACATGGGTTTCTACTTAAACTTTAAATTATATCAAATCTAAGATTTAAATTGTTGCAAGTATGGCAGTTGGACTGCAGCTCTCCAAAGCAATTCAGTCAGCCTCCAGCACCTGAACAGTTAACAGTCATGATAACACAGCCTTGTTTCTGATAGATTATAATCAGGAAAAGAAACTGAGCAACTTTATACTGTAAAGTGGAAGAGCAAATAGACAGAGTTTTCAGGGGGAAATTTCTAGGTGAATGCATCTTAAAGGAGGGAACAGAAGCATTGGCAAACACAAACTTAATGCTCATCATTAAAGCTTGTGCCAGTGCCCTGAGTCTGCAGAGGGCTTTCTCCACCTCCTGTCTCTGGTCTCTGAATTCTTAGCCTGGAAGTATTCAGAGGAGCTTCAGGGAAAGCGAACTCTATTTTTAGTCCTCAGTTCAGGAGGTGGGCCATGAACCACCTTGGGAAGTACCACGCAAGATTTGGAAGTAGAAAGTGAGAATCTTAGGCATCACTACGGAGGCAGGAACCACAGCACTGCTAAGATAGCTAAATAAAGCTGTTTCACTATGGACATCTGCTTTGTGAAGGACTGTGAACTTGCTATAGATTTATTTATCTAGGAAACAAAACTATAACTCACAGAATTCTTTTGTGCTACGTCTTTAGGTGTAACACATTGAGGATTGTAACAATTGCTCCACAGAGGTTGTCTTCAGTTGGCAAGGCACGATCAAGACACATTTATACAACTCAATATAATTGAACCAAGCAGATAATTGTTTCAAACATCCTAAATGGGGGTAATGAGTTATTTCATGTGCCCTTCAAACCATTCAGTGTACTAGCTAGTACAAATTAGTAGCAAATTGTGAATCCTATAGAAGTGTTCATACTTTATACACTTCATATTTTTTTCCTAAAGTGTCTTACTGTCCCATGGGCTACAAATTCTTCAATTAATTTTCTTATGTTTTAGTGATACTTTTATTAATAAAGTACACAATATTAAGGTAAACTTTTAGTATAAAGAACAAAATTATTTTTTAGCCTTTAACTAACTGATAATTATAATATTTTTTAAGTGTTCAGCTCCAAAGACCTGGAGAAGATTTGATGGCAAAATAATTGAGATGGATACACAGTTCACTATCAGAGCCAGAGAGCTGCAGAACATCTATAAATGCATTATGCTGAGAAATCTCTCTCAAGATGAGAGACTGGATGTACTCTTAACACTTAAACATACTGTGAAGGTATGTTAACTTTCTCTTAGTTTTGGGGTATCCCTATCACTATGAATAAAAAACTGAATACTCAAATAAGATGTTTATATTAAGTAATTATAAAGATGATCAATAAATGTTTTTATAAATTTTATTTTGTCAACAACTATATTGTTTTGGTATAATTTGGGGAAGATATGGTCTTTGCGTTAATATTTATTTAAAAGTTTTCAAACTATATATTATGATACATAATAAATATAAATATAGCACAGTGAACATTCTGAGTGTAAATATTTTTATATATGCAATGAAACAAATAAATGCAAATATACTCCATGGGATTAATACTCAGTTCAATAAAACAGCAACTGTTGTCTCTGTATTTTGACCATCGCCAATGAAAATTTTATTTTTAGCAGTTTTAAAGCAGCGTCAGTGTAAGTATTTTTGTCTTCTTCCCTCATCATTTAGTGATTTTGTGTGTTTTTGTCCTGCCTTTAATGAAAAGAAAAGTTCCCAAGAAATACGGGGACTTGTGTGCAGGAAGTTTATTGGCGAGCACTCAGGAGTAACTCCCGTGAGGACCTGAGAAGGCAGGACTGGCCAGGTGGGGAAATGACACGCTGGTCAGGTTTCCGCAGTGACTTTAGCCAGCCTCTCAGGGAGCTCGGGAACTGTGAAGGCTCTGAGTTGTCCTGAATTGAGACAGGGGCTGGGAGATTTTGCTCCCACATTGACCATTTAGTAGATGTGGGTTGCCCCCAGGAAGGAGGTGTGACTTTGTTTTTGTTTTATTTTCACTTTAATCATTTTTAAAAATTGACTTTTTTTAGAGACGGGGGAAGGGAGATAGAGAGAAACATTGATGTGGGAGAGAAACATCGATTGGTTGCCTTTTGAACGCACAACCTGGGTATGTGCCTTGACTGGAACCGAGCCTGCGACCTTCTGGTGCACAGGACGACCCTCCAACCAACTGAGCCACAAGGGCCAGGGTTTCACTTCAATCTTTTATTTGTAATTTAAGTTACTTTTTTTCTGAACAGTTAAAAACAAAACAAAACATACTATATTACCGTGATTCTAGGTTGTGAACATACTGGTACATTGACTACACGCCACCAAACTGTAATCACAAGTCAAAACAGTCACTATTTAAGAGTCTAGAGAACAAAGGGCTGAACCAACCAAAAGCTCTCAGGGAGACTCACGTTTGCAGCCAGGCCTGCTCCATGGTCTGAGTCCGGTGGACACTCCTCAGAAGAGTCTGGGTTGGGCTTGAGTGATCGCTGATTTGGGAAGGTGTTGGTTTCCTTGGTACCGAAAGTTCTAACCTTCCTCGCGAGTCTTTTCCGTCAGTGTCCAAGAAGGGAAAGGGGTCGAGAGAAGTGAGCCTTTGTGATGCTGCTTTTGTGCTCACCCTGAAATGTGACTGATGAGGCATCTCTTCTTACCAGAAAGCAGTTCTCAGAAAGGGACTCACTGAGAATATTGGCCAGCACTGTACCAGGAGTGAGGGAATGATTACTTCAGGTCTGAACACAGCATATACTACACAACGGATTCATGTTATAAGTTTTGGGGACAGCTCCTCTGGATTTAGACAGGCCCCTTTTGCCTTGGGAAAATTATAAGAGCAAGGTTAATGAGATAACTAGGCTCCTATTGTTATTGTCTTTAAGGCCACAACAGATACTCTTGGCCCTTTCCTCTACTACCCATTTTAGATTTTCTCACCCTCAAGTAGCAACTTTACTGATCTATGTGGCCCACCTGTTGGGGTGACCCATACCTTGAGAGGCCTAGACCACAGGGCACCATGCTCTTCTCAGGCTGAGGCTACTAGACTTCCATTTACTGTCAAAATTAGGCAAGGGTATATCAAGAAATGCCCATTACCTGAGTGCCAAAAGAATCCTTCCTTGTCCCCATTGGGTAATAACAGCCATAGTGCCTTTGAAAGATCAAGGTCTGTTACCTTTACAGGCATGTGACACTTCTTGTTCCAGGTCATTTGGTCTAAGGACCCCAGGCATTAATTGTAGTTTCAAGTTTAATAGGGCTCTTGCTGTGTCCACTGCTAAGAGCATCTTCCCCCTAGGAATCAGGGCTTCTAAACTTGAAGAGCACACAGTTGCAGGGACAGGAAGCAAAAATTCCCCAAGTAGTAAGTGGTGCTGTTTCTACTTCTACCCCCTGGGTTTCCAGGGTAGAGCAGTTTCAGGGGCTTCTACTTAGTCTTCCCCATCACATTAGCTCAAGAAATCAAGGGGGGGAGGGGCTGTGCCAGCTACTAAATATTCCATTCCAGGGATATAGTTAAGGGTCAGGAAAGTGAACACTGGGTGGGTCTCTGAGACCAGTGGACCTGTTGTGAGCTGGACCCTGGTCAGGATTCCACTTATTTTTTTGTTCCCATATTCCTTTACTCTGGGTCCTGGGCCCTTACACCCCCATGTTGATTAGTCATTTGGTTTCAGGTTGTTCCAGGGAAAAAAGCATGACCTTTAATGAGGAAATTCTTTTAAATTGATGGCAGCTGTTTTCAGCCAATATGGCTTTCTTCAGCTGAGGGCAATCTAGAGAGAGGCTCAGCTGAGATTTGCCAGCTGCCAATCCTGTCCACAGCTGGGGAGACCCAGTGCTTTGGTTCTGAAGTGGGGGTAACCTGGGCAGCACATGACAGCATTCACTATAATGAATATGTTTTCTATATTTCTAATTAAAGGGGGAAAACCCAAGTACCATCAGGACCACTGGTATAGCTCTTATGTTTTATAGCTCAAATTGAAGGCAATATTGGTTATATGTTTTTGTCAATATAGGTAAATTAAATGGGCAATTCAGCTAAAATATTTGGCTTCTTAAAAATGATTTTGAGTTCACTAAATTTACAAGACACTTGCCAGAGATGCCCTCTTCAGTTATGGCATAAAGATATAAATTGTTTCTGAATTACCATCTATGTTAACTATTATAAAGTGTTTAGATAGGCAATGGATTGGTAACTCTGCATGGTGTGTCTATTTTGGTCATCAGTATGAGCCAAATTGCCAGAGCATGTAGATATAGATATCCAAATTATAATCAGTGGTTCACTATGACAACTGAAAAAATGTCAGCTGTATTTTAATCTATCTAGGTGAATCATGTGATTACAATCTAAGAATTTCACTAGTAAAACTCTTAGATACCTCATGTAGGTTTTTTGCTTCCTAACTAAGAAGAACTCTTATTCTGTTGAGAAGAAATAAGACCAAGACACAACACATAAAGTTCTTAGGACACATTAACTAGTTGAGTAAATGGTTCTTGTTGGGAGATAAGCCGCCATAGGTCTGCCACATTTCTGCTCATCTTGAGAGCAGTGGCATTGACTGCCTTTGTTCTGGACTACCCTTTCAAAGATGTTTGTGTAGTGACTATCCTTGGAATACAGAGACAGTTAGGAAGAGAGGGAGAAGCAGTAGATCCAGAGGTAGGAAATAAGCATAATATCCAGAGAACGCAGTAAAAAGGTCAAATTGTTAAAAAGGGAGTACAGGTGGGGAATATAGCAGAAATTCTATCTGACATAATTAGGAACATCATCTGGTTAATTAAAAATGCCAAAGGGTGGCTCATAAAAAATAAATTGTGCATCTCTTAAACAATATGTTTAAGCTGTTATATCCACATGTACCTTTATTGAACAATATTATGATTGAGGATTGAAGCCTTTAAGCGTGACTCTAATTCTAGCTCTATTCATTTTTGCTGTGCAACCTTAGATAAGTTATTTAATATTTCTGAAAATCAGTTTCAATTAATTTGTAAAATTAGTTGCTTTGAGGATATAAATATATATATGTGCGTGTGTGTGCACATATACATGTATGTATAAAATATAAAATATAACTTGTATGTCTCAGTGCTTACAGATAGGGAACCTTAATAAATAATAGGTATTATTTTGATGATGATTACTAATATATACCAGTGAATCTTATACTTGACTACATATTAGAATCATCTGGAAAGCTTGAAAAAGAGAGAGAAAGAGAGTGACAGACACACACTCACACACACAGAGGATGTAAGAATAAACAATTAGGAATCATATCTAGGCTCCACTTCAGAGCAGTTAAATTAGACCCTCGTGTGAGAGCAGTGTTAAAAACCTTTAAAGCTCTCCTCCAGGTCCTTCTAATGTGCCTTCAGGGTCAAGCAAGGCCCACTGATGCAGACTCTTGTATTAGCTATGCCAAGTATATATCTAAAAGTACAGAAGAGTGTTACTTTACTGACTTTACCTTCTGACTCATTCATTCAAAATGTTTCTCATGGTCCTCTGTGGGCAGGTGGAGCACCTTACTTCTATTTGACTGCTTATACGTCCTTCTACTCGAATCAGTTAACTCATACCTAGGACTTTCTTATTCAGCCATTTCTATTACTTTATTAAGAATTATTCTGAATTATATATATGTGCAGTTTAGCAAATATAAAGCCATCAATCATGTAACCACCCTCTGAATCCAAAACAGGACAGTACCAACACTGCCAGTGTCCCACTTTCTCTTCATAATGGCAGTTCACCCTAGCAACCCTTAGAAGTACCTACTACACTGACTTTCATGGTAGTCACTTCTTTGATTTTTTCTTTAGTGTTACCACTTCTGTGTACGTTTCTAAAAAATATGGTCAGTGTTGCTTATTTTTGGATTTTACTTAAGTGGAATGATAAAAAATATGTATTATTTTGTGCTTTGATTCTTTTGCTCAACATTTGTAAGACTAAAAGTTGTTATTATATATAGCTGTACTGAATTTATTTCCTTACATTAAATAATATCCTGGTATATGAATAAGCCATCATTTATTTATGTAATCAATTTATTTATGGCTTTTTGGTTGTTTCTAATTTGGGGACACTGTGAACAATGATTCCACATGCACATTTCTCTAAAGCACTTAACAGTAGAATTGCTGGGTTGTAGATTATGCATGTCTTAAACTCTACTAGATAATTTCAATTTTTTTTCCAAATTAATCATGACAATTTATGTTTCTATCAGTGATGTTTCATTTCTTCTGGAGTCTAGTTTCAGTTTCTTTGTGTGGTAATTTCAAAAACTAACAGTGATTTTAAAAATTCTATACTGAATATTTTTGTATCTTCTATAGGAACACGAGTGTAAGTTGACTCAGGAAATTCTAGAATTGATTGACAGAGAAGTTGACCTTATGATGAGAGGAGTCAAAGATGATAACCTTGAAGGGCTCAGAAAAAGAATCACAACACTGTTTTTCCATTACATCAAAACACCTCTGTTTAATCCAGAAGTTGCAAGACACCTTAAGGTACTCAATTTTTTTCTGTATTCCTTTCTCAAAATTGTAAGATGTGCTACAGTAAATGGAAGAATATTCAAAGTTTGCTTTAACACTTTACTTGGGATCCATGTGGAAGACTATCTTATTGTGAAATCTCTTTTGAATGATTATTTTTTGTATTGATGAATTAAACTTACTCATTTAACTTCTTGTATGTCCGTATTTCCAACCTTGAGTTCTTTCCTAATCTCTGAACCAAATTTCCAATTAAATATTGCACTGTGTTGCATGTATCATGATCTCTCACACCTTCATGCTTTTGCATGCACTGCTGCTTCCACCTGGAATGCTGTGCCCCTCCTTCACCCAGCCAGCTCCAATTCATTTTCTAAGACTCCATTTACATGTCCCGTATCTCTGAGATTCTACATGTACCTGGTTTGTGTTCCCTTAGAATACTTATCACAGTTATAATAATTACTGGACACATCCATGTAACTATCCTGAGAGAACTTCAAATATAACACATATTTGAATTAAACTGCCTTCTCGAACTCCAGCATGTTTAGGCTTCAGTAGGGCTCTGGCTCTCTGAAGCTAAGATAGTGCCTTATTGCCTTCTTACTGTACAAAACTGTTTAAAATACTTTTAATAAAGTCCAGAGGGGTAGTTTACTAAAGAATTCTAAATAGCGTTTTATTTCAATGATTATTTTTAGAGTTATAATTTACATAAGAACATGTTTTGCTTTTTTGACAAAAATCTTAATATTTAGTCAAAACTTTTATAAAAATAAAAATATTTTAATTTTTTGATTTTTAATGAATTTTTAAAATTTAATTGTATTGAAAGAGAATATTAAAATATAACAAAAGTCCAAGAGAAAAGTTTCCCATTTTATTATTTTTATTTATTTATTTATTTATTTATTTATTTACTTAGTGTCTATTATCAAAGATTTATTTCAATATGTTCCAGATAGTTAATGCATGAATTAGTTTATGACATAACATGAATTCAATACATTTGTACATGCTAATAGTAAAGGTTGTGTAGGAGAGTTTAGTTTTAGTGTTTCAGTTGCCTTGAATTGTGTAAAACTGGAGTAAAGTCTCTGAACTCTCACAGAAAAGTGTTCACAATACAAATATGAAACACTGTTTTTAGCACAATCATGATTAATAAATGAAACACCGACTAACTATGTAAACAATGCAGTAACATGCACCTTCTGTAAATATCATTACATTATAATACTTCACAGAAGATAAGAGCACTCTACACAGGACTTCTCTTGTGTATTTCTTCAAAGATTGAAACATATTCCAAATAATGCATGTACTTTTTCAAGACATAACATCAAATCAATACATTTGTAAATGGTAATAGCAAACCAATATTNGACATAACATCAAATCAATACATTTGTAAATGGTAATAGCAAACCAATATTGGAACACTGTAGTTTTAAGGTTTCAATTAGCAGTTCAGTGTACAAAAGTTGACTGACCATTTTTAAAAAATTTATCTTTATTGTTGAAAGTATTACAGATGTCCCCTTTTTTCCCCATTGACCCCTTCCACCCCGCACCCACTCCCCACCCCAGGCCTTCACCACACAGTTGTCTGTGTCCATGAGTTATGCATATATTCACATAAATTCTTTGGTTAATCTCTCCCCNNCCGATCTACATCTAGATGTGTATAAGAGACAGCACCCCCACCTTCCCTCCAAGATTCGTTAGTCTGTTCCATGCTTCTATATCGGGGCCATTTTATTATTTTTTATTAAAGTCAGTGTTTCATTTGCTCAGGCTAACCTCTAACTTTTTCTATAGGCTTATTCAGTTTTTATGTATTTGTAGTAATATAATAGAATTTTATATTCTACACATTCATATAATATGATACCTTTTTATTTACTTTGTAAGTTACCTTTGGTAAAATTTACTCTTTTTGGTGAGGTTTGACAGACTCAGAGAGTCATGTAACCAATAGCGCAATCAAGATTTAAAAAGTCTTATTCTCTTCCCAAATTCCCTTATGCTGCTACCTTGTAGTCAACCCTTTCCTTGGACCCTAATCTTTGGTAAACACTGATCTGCATTTTATTTTTATAGTTTTATCTAACCCAGAATGTCACATAAGTAGAATCATACTATATGTAGTCTTTTGAGACTGGCTTCCTTTATTTAGCGTATTGCATTTGAGATTCACCCATATTTCTGAGTATATCAGTAGTTTATATTTTTATTGTCTGGATGTACAAGAGCTTATCCATTCATAGTTGTAGAACATTGAGTTGTTTGGAGTTGTGTGGTTTTGTGAATAAAGTCACTACAAAAACTTGACTATAGTTTTTATGTAAATTGATTGTTTTGGGTTAAATACCTAGGAAGTGGGGTTTTTGAATCATATACTGAATACATATTTACTACCTTTATAAGACACTGCCAAACTTTTTTCTAAACTTGCTGTACCATAATGTATTCCCGTCTGCAGTGTATGAGAGTTCCAGTTGCTTTGCTTCCTTGTCACCACTTGGTATTGTCAAGTTTTATTTTAATTTTGGAATTCTAATAGGTGTGAAGTAGTATCCCATTATAGTTTAATCTCCATTTTCTTAATGACTAATAAACATCTTTTTACTCATTTTTTGCCATACATATATCTTTATGGTGAACTGTTTGCATATATCTTGTGCTACCACCCCCACCTTATTTTTAGTTGGGCTGTTTATTTTCTTATTATTGAATTTTGAGAATTCTCTATATATTTCACATATAAGCCCTTTGTAAGATATATGATTTGCAAGCATTTCCTCTTAGTTTGTAGCTTGGCTTTTCATTCTCTTAACAGTGTCCTTAACAAAGAAGAAGTATTTGATTTTGAAGTTGAATTTATCCATTTTTAAAATAGATCATGCCTTTGGTGTTTGTTTTGTACTTAATAAATCTTTTTGGATGAATTAATATTGTTAAAATGTTGATACTACCCAAACTGACCTACAGATTTAGTGTAATCCCTATCAAAATTCCAATGGCATTTTTCACAGAAAAGATAGTAGCCAAAACAATCTTGAGCAAGAAGAACAAAGTTGGAGGCACAGTGCTTTCTGTTTTCAAACTATATTTCAAAGCTATAGTATTTAAAACAGTATGGTATTGCCTTAAAAAGAGACATCTAGTGCAGCTGGCGTGGCTCAGCAGCTGAGCATCAGCCTATGACCTAGGAGATTGAGGTTCAATTCTGGATCAGAGCACATGCCCAGGTCACAGGCTTGATTCCCAGCAGGGGGTATGCAGGAGGCAGCTGATCAATGATTCTCTCATCATTGATGTTTCTCTCTCTCTCCCTCTCCCTTCCTCTCTCTGAAATCATTAAAAATATATTTTAAAAAATAAAAGAATTCTTTATTTTAAAAAAATAATACTAATTAAAAAAATAAGAGAGACATATAGATAAATGGAACAGACTAGAGAGCCCAGAAATAAATCCACACATATAAGGTCAACTAATATTTGACAAAGGAGCCAAGAACACACAATGGAGAAAGGAGGTTCTCAGTCATGACAACACCAAAAGCAAAGTCAACAAAAGCAAAATTAGACAAATGAGATTGCATCAAACTAAAAAGCACAGCAAAAGAAACAATCAACAAAATGAAAGACAACCTATAAAATGGGAGAAAATGTTTGCAAACCATATAGTTAGGCTGTTTATTGTGAGTAAATACACACCCCACCCCACCTTGCCCAAAGGGAACTCTTATAACTCAATAGCAAAACAATTTTAACCTACTTTAAAAATGAGCAAAGGACCTTAAGAGACATTTTCCTAAAGAACAGAGAAATGGCCAACATGTACATGAAAAGTGCTCAATTATCAGGGAAATGTAAATCAAAACTGCCAAGAGATAAAGACAAAAGATAAGTGTTGACAAGGATGTATAGCAAAGAGAAATCTTGTGCACTGTTGGTGGACATGTAAATTGGTACAACCATTGTGGAAAACAGTATGGAATTTCCTCAAAAAAAAATAAAAAATAGAACTACCATCTGATACAGAGTTTCAAATATTGAAAATTGATTTTAATAATCTAAATTTATTGTTAAGATGAATGAATAAGAACACTTGGTTTAGTGGGCTTTTATTTATATGTTAATCTAGCTGTTGCCTGTAAGATTAATTAATGTAGCATAACATCAAAAATCTAAATTCTTACCCGGCTGGGCGTGGCTCAGCGGTTGATCATCGACCTAGGATCCAGGTGATCAGGGTTCAATTCCCGGTCAGGGCACATGCCCGGGTTGTGGGCTCCATCAATGACTCTCTCATCATTGATGTTTCTATCTCTCTCTCTCCCTCTCCTTTCCTCTCTCTGAAATCAATAAAGATATATTTTTAAAAATTTTTTAAAAATCTAAATTCTTCTTAAAAATAAGTGCCAAAGCACTTGGAAGGTATTATTATTGTTTTACAACCCAAGCTCTTTACCTACTAATTTTTTCAATCAATTTTCTATGTGATTTGACTACATGTATCTAAGGGTTGATGAAGAATACAGAATTTTAATATTTTGGCAAAGTAAATGAACACTGCTTGAAATTTAAATTTTGTATAGAATAAGAAGTTAAAGGGAAAATATGACTTTAAAAATTAACCAACTTTTGCCCAGCCACAGTGTCTCAGTTGGTTGAGCATTGGCCCATGCACCAAGCAACCCCTGGTTCTATTTCTGGTCAGGGCACATGCCTGGTTGCAGGCTTGATCCCCAGTAGAAGGCAAGCAGGAGGCAGCTGATAGATGTTTCTGTCTCTCTCTCCCCCTCTCCCTTCCTCTCTCTGAAATCAATAAAAACATATTTTAAAAAATTAACCAACTTTTTATCTCATTCTAAGATGATAGCCCTCAGTGCTTCTGTTGGGTAATATTTGTCTTAGCTTTTATACCTTTCTCTCACTCTCTATAAATACATGTATATATTTTTACTATTTAGGTCCCTCAAGACCCATTGAAATTTTACAAGAAGATCTACTTTTGCCACAGTTGCCAGCTCTATTTGCCATCTACAGAGTTTGCTGTATCATCCACCTCACACCGCATATACCGGTGTCGTAACTGCATTGACCTTGACAACGAGGCTAGACAACGAGAATCATTTTTGAAGTACAAACAGTTACTTCAGCGGCTCTACTATTCAGAATCTGATTATGAAGATGATTCTAGAATTGCTTTCCTGATGCAGGTATGATCAGTGGGAGTTGCCAATCATGGATGAAATTTTACAGAAAAGCTTCCTGCTTTTCCACCCAAACTTTCCAAAATAATGGATTTCCCCCTATCCTTATATTTTGTGAAGTTTGCTCTTCTGGCAATTCTAAGTTTATATATGTAGACTTCTTGATAAAAAAGTTGTTTCAATTTTAGCTAATATGGTTTAAATAAAAAATGTTTTAAGACTGTTATTTCATTTCCCCCTTCCCTCTGTTTTTCATTAAAACAAAAAAGTCTTTTTAATAACACTAAGCAAATTGCTTTTTTAAAATTAAATTTTAATTTCCTCATTTGTGAAATGGGAATAAAATGCTTATCCCTGAGGATAAGATGATAGTTACTAATATATTTTGAATACTTAATACTATATAAATGTAAGGTAAAATTAGCATACTGGAAAAAATATATACAGCTTACTCTGGGTCAAATATGCAGTCATGAATGTGAGGCCGATAACATAATTTAGTCAGAATGAACAGATATTTGGTGAAAAATAAGGAGCAATTTGCCACTGAAAACCTCAATAATAGTATTTCTCTTTTAAAAATATACTTAATATAATTTAATTATTTCCTCAAGTAGCATAATAATCTTAAAGAACTTCTATGTTGATAAGGAAACATTTTTCAAACTTATTTTGACATGCAGCTGAAAGATATTCAGTACCTGACAGAGAACATCTGGGCATCCCAGTCAGCACTCAGTGCCTGGAATGACCTTAATGATCTGGTCATGGTCAGGTGGGACAAGTCCTTGGAGTGGTCCCCTTGGAACTGCATTCTTCTTACTAAAAGTGAGGGTGCTGCGCATCTCAAGCTAACAAGTATTGAAAAGGTAAGAAAGTTGAACTGTTGGGGGAAAATTAACTTAATCATTCTATTTATTAGAGATAACGTGACTATTAAAAAATTCTATGCATAATTTAAATACTTCCATTGAATTAAGAAACAGAACTGATGGATAACAGTAACAAAATATGTGTATGGTATGTATGACAGAGATTAAAATGGAAAGGAAGCTAAGGCACATAAAAAGTGAGGATAAAAGACCAGAAGGTCTGTACAAGTACCCAAACATGATAATACCCCCATTTAATAATAGCAAGTCCAAGCATATTAGTTCTACAGGAAGTTCCACAAGGGCAGAGATTTTGTTTTGCTTATTTCTGTCTATATCTCTAATACCTATAGCAGTGCTGGTCACAGGTTAGAGGTTTAATAAATATTTGTTGAATGAATAAATGAATATTATCACTAGATAGGTATTATGGAACTTAAAATCTATCCTTTGATTAATCATCACAAGTCTCCCTGAAAGCACACTAAATTCTCAAATAAATTTTGTTCATAATTTTGTGTTCTAAATGGAAGTCATACTCATGGGGTATAGTTTTGAAGCTCCATTTTTTATTTGCTTCCAACTAACTAGGAGTGGGAAATCACTTTAAAAATTAAATATCATTTAATTCAGTAAATTACAAGAAGTAATCTCTAAAGCATTTTGATGAATGGAGTTGGGAGTCCCTGATGAGTTCCCAGAGAGTACCACTTACACTAAGCAAGCCTAGAATTCCTACTGCTGATACAGAATCTCTGCCTTGTTAAAAAAAAAAAAATTATTACTTTTTAAATTTATCTTTATTGTTGAAAGTATTACCCCCTGTTTTTCCCCCATTGATTGCTTCTACCCAGCATCCCCCCCCCCCC